GGTAGTTTGAGCATTCTTTGGCATTGCCTTTCTTTGGGATTGGAATGAAAACTGACCTTTTCCAGTCCTGTGGCCACTGCTGAGTTTTCCAAATTTGCTGGCATATTGAGTGCAGCACTTTCACAGCATCATCTTTCAGGATTTGAAATAGCTCAACTGGAATTCCATCACCTTCACTAGCTTTGCTCGTAGTGACGCTTCCTAAGGCCCACTTGACTTCACATTTCAGGATGTCTGGCTCTAGGTGAGTGATCACACCACCATGATTATCTGGGTCATGAAGATCTTTTTTGTACAGTTCTTCTGTGTATTCTTGCCACCTCTTCTTAATAGCTTCTGTTTCTGTTAGGTCCATACTGTTTCTGTCCTTTATCGAGCCCATCTTTGCATGAAATATTCGCTTATTAACCCATGGTAATTTTGTTCTTCAAAACCTGATCACGTTCATGTTCTTCGTGGAGATATCCACTCAGGTTGACTCACAAAACACATCATACCCACACGTACTCGTTTCTACCTCCATCGGTGGCTCTTTGAGAGCATTCTGTGTTCTGCTAAACACATACCAAATCTAAACAAAGGGAAGATGTCTAAGGTGAGGGGAAGAGCATCATTGGAGCTTCTATTTCTAAAGGAGCAGAAAGAAGCTTTTTCTCACAACTTTTAATAGAGAGGAGGAGAAATATCATTATCACCTTCATTATCATCATAATCATAGCTTATTTACTTTACATTTTTAAGACTTTTTTTTTATGTGAACCATCTTTAAAGTCTTTATTGAATTTGTTACAATACTGCATCTATTGTTTATATTGTGGTTTTTTGGCCTTGAGGTGTTTGGGATCTTAGTTTCCCAACCAGGGATTGAACAATCACCTCCCTATGCTGGAAGGTAAAGACTTAACCACTGGACCACCAGGGAAGTCCCTCCTGCTTATCATTTATAAAATGATCCCAGACCTCATCTCAATTCTCCTTACAAACCTGTAAGGTGGAAATTATTATTTATTATTGCTATTCTCGTTTCATAGACATTAAGCCACTGCCAGAGATGATCTGTGCTCCGTCACGACGTGCCGTGGACTCCACTGCGAACCTCACTGTGACTTGGCTATGCTGAGTCTCCTCATCTCACACTCTAGCACCTCACATGGCTCACCCCTTCTCTAGCATGCTTACCGATTGACGCCAAGTGTCTTTGATGACCTCAGGCTTTTCTGGAAGACCACACCCCTTATAAATTTGGGCAACTTCATAATTACATGCTACATGTTCTCATGTTTGGGTCATCTAGACTTTCAGGTGGAGAAGGAAATGGCACCCCAC